TTCTCTTTCAGTCATAACTCAAAGACGACCAGCTGGCTGGATCCTCGAACTCAGAACAAAGAGACGACTCCCTGTACAGAACGTAAGTGTGACTGATTGATTCGTGATGTGCTGCTGAGGATCAGATGAAGTCACTTCCTGTTAGTGTGTGTGGGACTTTACTTTGACAGCAGCAGCCAGCAGGGGGCAGCACAGACTGAGACAAGCTTTAACATCCTGTTAGCGTCTACTTTATTCTTCTTCTTCTTCTCAGCAGCTTAAGATGACATCACACAGGCGAACACATCAGTCATGTGACACTGTGATACAACATTATATTGTATATACATTCAACAGCTGTTTATTATTTATGATTGTTGTTAAAGTGCAGTGTTGAGGTTCTTGTGTTTTACTTGAGAGTTTTGTCTTCATGCTTCTGATTCTCCTTTACAACATTTACTCAACAACTTTAGTTTCTATTAATTTACAGATTATGATTTTACATTAAATAATATATTAAGGGACTGTTCTTTATTTATCAGAGGAGGAGGCTGAGGTGTGACTTATTTTTTATACACCAACTTCTGTATAAAAAGACACTTTCATCCTCCTCTGTCCTCTCACTGACCTCCGCTCTGTCTCTGTCTCTGCAGTCCCAGAGTTCACGGAGCAGCCCAGCCAGCTGAAGGGTTACTCCATCCACACTCGGCTCTCTAAAGGTCCTCGAGGTTTCGGCTTCAACATTGTCGGAGGAAGTCGACCCAGAGAGTTTCTGCAGGTGTACAGCGTCACACCTGGAGGACCGCCGGCTCTCAACACAGGTACGAATACTGTACTGACACTACTGCTGATACTGTAAACACTGAGCACTGACTCCTCCCTGCTAACAGGTGCTGGGTGCTTCTCAAAGTCAAGGATCCTTCCAACCAAGGAATTAGGACAGACTAAACCTTTGTCTGGCGTACTAAGTAGTATGGTGGTATGAGGATTGGAACGCACAGTGAGAGCTTCACAAACAGGAAGTAAACACACCAAAGCTCAGTGTTAAAGAAAAGATGATGACATCACGAGGAGGAGACGATGACGTGGACATCATGTGAGCAGCTCTGCAGGTGTTTACAGGTGTTGCTCTGACCTCTGAAACTCAGTCCGTCTCCAGTCCCAGCTGGACGAGGACATCTAACTGGCCTACTGTCCTTGTCCCAGTATACAAGCACGGGAGGGGAATCCATTTATTGAGCCAAGTATGTGCGACTCCTCTACGATAGGTGGAGATATGCCCCCTTTCAGCTTGTTAGTATTGGACCTTTTTCCTGTTGACCTATTACGTCACAGACCAAACAATGGACAAACAAGTTAGCTACGGTTAGCTAGCAGCTAACTGTTACCATGGTGGACAACTTTACAGCTCTGTACATTTGGTTCGTCCAAAAAGTCACGGCTCTGGATGTAGATTTCTCCATGTTGTTACCGGCTTCTTCTTCTCTTACACATTTAATGCTATTGGACTTCCGGGTCAAAGCCCGGGGCGGAAACTGTGGAGCATGCTCAGAGCGCCTCGGCCAGTTTGGGTCTGATTGACTGTATACATGCAGGAGTCACATGATCTGGGTGTGTTAGTCCCACTGTGACACATTCACTGCAGGACCATTTCACTCACACTGACATGTTCACAGGGGTTTTAAGAGACTGACACAATAAATCCATTTTCTCTGACGATGTGTAAACGTACTGCCTGATCGGTAAAACTTCTGTGGAAACGAATAAACAGTAAAAGAGGAATTTCATTTAAATGTTTGAGAGCTCGACAGCTTTTTCAGATGTTTACCTCCTCTGTTAAAACTCGCTTCATGTTCCTGTCTCATCATGTATGCATGTCTGTCTGTCTGCAGGATTATGTTGCTGTTTGGTTCTCAGGTCTTTATTTTTCTCTAAAACACAATCACATGATCTACAACTAATCCCCCCCCCCCCACCCCACACACACACACACACACACACACACACAAACACACACACACTCTTTAATCTGTCCGACACACAGCCTCCTTTCTCTCCCACACTGTCAGACCTGCTCACGTGCGCTGAGGATAAATAGTCAGGAATGTAACACACACACACACACACACACACACACACACACACACACAGTTCAGGAAACCTCGTGAGAAAGAGAACAGAGAGTTTCAACAGGCAGCAGGAAACTCCTGAGCGCTCGACACCAGAGAAGAAACAGAACAAAAGACAGAAACTGGTTATTAAGTGAAGATGATCAGGTGGATTTAGAATAAAGACATAAACAGTAAAAATATGAAAATGTTTTAAAAGAAGAGTCAAACTGTTTTTTCATGACTGAAACATTCAGAATGAAGTTCAGAGAATAATGTACAGAGACAAGTTCAAAACAAAGTGTAACACAAAGAGACCAGTCAGACTCATCATCATCATCATCAGTCAGCTGAAGTTAGTCTTAAGGTGCAGACACACCAAACCGACATCAAAGAACTAGCGGCGACGAAAGCCAACTGTTGCGTCGTCTACGTCGCCTCACGTCGCCCTGTGTCAGTTGCATTTGAACACACTACACGGACTACATCCGACGGCCAAGTAGCACGTACGTTCTGCGCCTGCGTGAGAGAGAGCGGAGTGAGAGAGTGGTACGTCCTGTCAGCCGAGGCGTTTCCTATCTGTGCAGCCGAGCACCGCAGCACCTCCACGGACTATTACATCCAGACGGTCCCGGTGTTTCCTCCGCAGGCTCCACTTCACTCAGCTGCCCGATAAACCCGCTGCTTCTTCCCACTTTAACCTGAATAACAAACCAGGGCTCGGTGCTCCGGTTGGATCCAAACGGAGAGCCGGGGCTAGCTCAGAGACTAGCGGAGGCTAACTGGCTGTGCTTCCCTCCGGTCATGCTGCGGCTAACGCTCCGCTAGCTGCTCCCAGCTAGCTCCGGTTTGTTATTCAGGTTAAAGTGTGAAGAAGCAGCGGGTCTGTGGGGCAGCTGAGTGAAGTGGAGCCTGAGGAGGAAGCACCGGTTAGCCCCGGTTTCACTACAGGCAGATTCACTCGCTACAGGGGCGAGGAAATAAAACCTGAACAGCCAATCAGAGTGATCTCTCTCACCAACAAGCTCCGCCGCCGATTCAACATGCTCAATCGGCCGAAAAGCCGCCAATGCCGAAGTGCTGACGGTGCGGGACACACTGCAAAAACTAGGCCGACAGACGCTCACCGACGGCCGACTTAGGAAATCGGTCTCACTCCAAAGTCAAATACTGGTGCTTGGTCAATAACCTCGGCGCCAGAAACACAGATGAAAAAAGCCGTCCTTTCATGTCAGCACGATACACAGCTGGTCACAGTTATTCTGTAACAGCGTCAAGGGAAAACATGACCAGACAACAGCACAAGTTAAGGGGGTGAAAGCCCAAGTAGGGTTGGTGGGAGGAGTGGGGGATTGGTCCAACAACCACTGACTTTCACCCAGGAGGCCAGTGTTCACTTCCTGTTAGACTGTAAAGCCACTACCTTTTCCTTTTTTCCTAAACCCAACCACGTGAAAGGAGAATAAATGTTGGGTGAAAGAAACCTGACAGCTGAACATGTGACGCTCTGATGTAATAACGTGTCCACTGACTGTGTCTCCTGGTGTCTGGTCCTCCAGCGGACATCCTGGTCTACATCAATGACAGCTGCGTGTTGGGCCGCTCCCATAAAGAGGTGGTGGAGATGCTGAAGGCGGTGCCGATGGGTCAGAGCGTGGACGTGGTGCTGAGGAGAGGATACCCGATGCTTTACAACCCCGACGGATGTCCCAAACAGAGTCTGGAGGCGGTGCGTCTCATATGTTTCAGTAGTTTTTATTATTCTTCATCAGTGACCCTGTGTTCATCACTAACCTTGCCTCTGACTTTTTAACCCCTTCAGCAGCCACAGACGCCCAGCGAGCCCCCCAACCCCCCAAACATGAACCGCGGCCTGACACACCTCACCTACAGCCGAACACTAGACGCCAACGGCAGCACGCCAGGTCAGCGGCCTGACGTCTCATTAATCTGCTTTCATCTCTGAAACTCTGTTTCATGTCTTAAACAAGACGGAGAATTAAACACACACATTTGTGATATATTATTAACCCTTTCATCTTCCTCTCTGTTTTTAATTCACTGGTGATCATTAATCAGTAACTGTCTGATAATTTCCTCCTCCTTGACTCTGAAATCCAGGCCTCAGTCACACCCCACCCTCCTACGCTGCTCAGCCAATGACAAATGGGCTGACAGGCCCGCCGACCCCCACTCCCTCTGACCCCCCTCTGGGTCCACCCCCCCTTCCAGAGAGGACAGTAGCCAATCACAGTGACTCTGATGGCGGTGTGTCCAACGCTGGAACACGGAGGTGGGAGGAGCTTCAGTGTTAGCATTAGCAGTGTTAGCAACAGTAGAAATGGTGTTTATGAAGAGGGTCAGCCTGTATCATGGCGTCCCTCAGGGATGCTGACTGGGACGTCTCTATTTTTACTGATGATACGAGTACGAGTGCTGATCCTGAAATAATAAATAAACATATTTGAAGTTTTGATATAAACTCTTCCTCCTCTTCCTCCTCTCAGGTCTTCTCTGATCTGCTACAGCAGCAGCACCCTCCCCGCCCTCTCCTCCTCCTCCCTCCTCCACCATCAGAGCTCCAAGTCTTCGGAGAGTGACCTGTCGACGTCAGCGCTCCCCATCTCCTCCTCCACGCTCCCCCACACCTCCTCGTCCTCCCACGCTCTGTCCAAACTGCCCCTCTCTCAGCCAGAGACGGGCCTCCTCCAAAACTCCACCAGCCCCACCACCTCTAACAACCCCACCTCCTCCACCACACCTCCTGGCGCTCCTGTGCAGCGCCCGCCGATGCCTCAGACCTCTGTCGCCCTGACCCCACCCAGAGACGTCCCGCCCTGTGGCTTTAATGGCTGTCCAGCCAATCACCAAGCGCCCTCTCCAGCCTCCAGAGGAAACCCGGGGCTGGTGCTCCCCCTCGGGGCGGGGTCACTAGGGTCGGCTCCTGGTGGTGAGCTCGTACCGGTGGCCCTCGGGCGCAGTGAGAGTGGGGGGCTGGGGTTCAGCATGATGGCGGGGGGGCAAGGAGGTCAGCTGGCGGTGGTGAGGCGGGTCTGGGATCGAAGGCACTGCCCGTCGCTGCAGCCGGGGGACGCCGTGGTGAAGATCAACGGAGCAGACGTACAGAGCCTCAGCTTCTCCCAGGTGAGATTAGTGTCCTGGCAGTGTGTCTAAGTATCTTTAGGCAAGATACTGAAACGCGCATTGTTTCCTGTGGCTGTTCCATCAGTGTTTGAATTTTAAGTCCGCTGTGGGGCGGCAGCGTTGCCCGCAGTGTGCCGAGTAAACGGAGTCTGACAAAATCTGACAGTTATTGTTGACGGCAGAGAGAAGCTACCATGGCTGTTGGGGCAGGACACTTAATAAATCTCGAGGTATGCATGATTGCAGGATTTTTTGCCGATATCTGATATCCCAATATATAACAACTTATTTTGCCGATAACAATGCTGATATTAATATATCCACTTTTCCCTCCTGATGTCAGTGATCATCATCAAGTCTCTTCTGTAGTGAATTCACATCATATTACACACACAGACTCTGATGGTGACGGCCCACCAGCAGGTGGAGACATGAAACACTGTGCAGTGTCTGTGATATTTACTCACTGTGCTGAATTTAATTCAATTTCAATTTTATTTATAAAGCCCAATATCACAAATCACAATTTGCCTCACAGGGCTTTACAGCATACGACATCCCTCTGTCCTTATGACCCTCACAGCGGATAAGGAAAAACTCCCCAAAAAAAAACCCTTTAACCTCAGGAAGAGCAACTGAGGAGGGATCCCTCTTCCAGGACGGACAGACGTGCAATAGATGTCGTACAGAACAGATCAACATGATAAATTAACAGTAATCCGTATGACACAATGAGACAGAGAGAGAGACAGAGAGACAGAGAGAGAGAGAGAGATGCAGGACAGACGGTAATGACAGTAGCTTACAACAACATTAATGAAAGTAATAATATTATAGTTATAGTTCTGGCTACTGTGGTACAATATGTTGAAAGTATGTATTAATATCTGACAGTATACATGTGTGACAATAGTCATATGTGTATAATAACAGTAGAAGTATGACTAATAACTAAAACACAGTAAAAAACAGTTTGACAGACTATATCAGCCGATACCGATGAGGTGCCGATATTAACGTGCATCCCTGTAAATCTTCATGTCAACCCACTAGAATAATAAGAACCATCTTCAGTCTTTGTTTTTTGTCCTCAGGTCCAGAGAGTCCTGCAGGAGCACACCAAACAGGGGGAGGTGGTCCTGCTGGTCTACAGAGGAGGTACGGCTGCACGTTCAGTCTGATCTGATAAAAACATCCTGTCCTGTTCCAGGTGAAAAAACTCAATCAACAACTTCTTCCTCCAGGTCCCGTCTCTTCACCAGTCGTCACCCCCAACCTCTATAAGCCCCTCCCCTCCCCACACGGCCTGGCCACGCCCCCTCCCTCCCATCCCCCGACTTCAGCCGACTTGCCTTCCCCGTCCACGGGTGCCTTGCTGGGGGGCGTCCCCCCGCTCAGCCAGGCTGGCTTGGTCCTGGAGAGTCCTCAGGAGGGCCACCTCCCGGCCCCGGGGACCCACCAAGGTAACCACACCGATTGACTCCTCCTGCTCCTATCGGTGAATCTCCTCCTGCTCCCCCTGCCTCTATCAGTCTGACTCCTCTTTGTTTTCCAGGGGCCCCTCCTGCTCAGACGCCTAACGGGCCCCCGAGCTCGGCCCTCATCCAGAGCACCAGCTTCCTGGACTCAGTTCCTGTGACGCTCACCTTGGAGCCGCGGGATTTGCTGGGCATAGAGGAGAGCGCCGGAGGGCCTCCTCCCATCAGAGGGGGAGGTGGGGGAGGAGCACTGGGAGCAATAGCCAAGGACGGGAGAGGAGGAGTTAAGACGGTGGAGGTGGAGCTGAGGAGGCGGTCAGGAGAAGGTTTTGGATTCGTCATCGCCTCTCAGGAAGTGAGCGGTGGAGGTGAGTCCCAGTGAACCCTCAGCTTTCACTTTATTCACACACTGATGGACGAGTCCGTTTTATTTACACACTCCAACATCACACAGTACTGATTTATTTTGGTCAGAGTACAAGTCCCTCTGTCCTCAGACCTCACCTCAGACTGAAAGTGTAAACAGTCACTGCAGGTCACATGGTCTCGCTTTCATCAGAAACAGTCATTCTGCATGTGATCAGTAATAAACATGTTGTTAACAGTTTTCATGATGAGGATTATCTGATGATGATGAGGCAACATCTGAAGTTATGAGGAGCTGTATTAGTCACTGAACACAACAAATGATGTAAAGGGAGGAAGGAAAGTACACTGCTCAAAAAATGAAGGGAACACTTAATGTCCACAGTGTAACACCAGGTCAGTTAAACTTCAGGAAGATCAATCAAGTGATTGTGAATCAGTTTCAGCTGCTTTGGTGCAAATCGAAGAGACAAACAGGAAATGGTTTTACATGTGGTGTCCACAGACAGTTGCTCTCTTCTGATCCTTCCTGACTGATTCTTCTCTAGTTTGGTCTCCTGCTAGTGTCCTTGGCACTACTGGTAGCATGAGGCGGCACCTGCAGCCCAATCAGGTTGATACCAGATACCTGGTGCAGAGGGCCCTGGGTTCCTCCTGGTGCAGTGGGCCCTGGGTTCCTCCTGGTGCAGAGGGCCCTGGGTTCCTCCTGGTGCAGAGGGCCCTGGGTTCCTCCTGGTGCAGAGGGCCCTGGGTTCTTGGGCCCTTTTGATGTTCATTGTTTTATCCTGTTAGACATTTGTGTCAAGTTTGGTCAGAATTAGTGAATGAGTTACGTACGTTACCGTTAATCTCCGTCGTAATCCAGTGTTAACTCAGACGTTCATGACAGCGACGCGGCAGCACGTCATGGTACTGTGCCTGCTCTGAAAACACATGTATGTGGGGGAAAGGGATGCATGGAAGAGGCACTGAGTTCAGGTGAAGATGAACGTTTTGTTTTGTTTTACTTAGATGCAAAGATTTGTACATCAGCAGAGATGTAGCACCAGGTGGAGGTGAACGCAGCGCTCTGATTGTTTAACTGTGAAAGAGCAAGAAAAATATTTTGTTCAATAACCATGAGAAGTAATTGTGATCTAAATATTGATCAAGACAATCCTGATTATCTTTTCGGCCATGATCGTGCAGCCCTGGTCTGTTGGTATATTTCAGATGTGGGACACACCTGTGTGTCACCTGCAGTCACATGACCACACAGTGAAGTGCTGCGACCAGAACCTGAGTTTGTGTTCAGACGGTGAGAACAGATCAGTCATCAGGACACTGTTTGTTCATGATGTGGCTGTAATGAAGAGTTTCAGCCTGCAGGAGGCGCCGACAGCTCTGTGAGTGTGTGTGTGTGTGTGTGTGTGTGTGTGTGTGTGTGTGTGTGTGTGTGAGTCTCTGGTTGATTAAAGCAGCAGCTGCGCTTCTGTTTGTTCCACTGAGTCGACTGCATCCAGCTGGAAGGAACAGCGACGAGGTTTACAACTCCGTTCAAGAGACTGCGAACGCATCACCTACTCTGAAACATTAACAATAATCTCCTCTGTTAATGTGTGCGTGTGTGTGTGCGTGTGTGTGTGTTATCTGCGTTCTGTTGGCCACGCCCCCTTCCTCCCAGCTGTCTCTCTCTGCAGCTCACACTCAGTCTCACTCTGCTTTCAGAAGAACGACCTGCCCCACACACAAACACACACACACAGATAGATAGACAGGTGGACAGACAGAGACATTGAGACAGGTGGACAGACAGAGAGACAGGTGGACAGACAGAGAGACAGGTGGACAGACAGACGGACGGGACAGGCAGTTGTAGTTTCCTGTGTTTGCTTGTTTCCACTCTGTTCATCATGTTGGAGCGTTTGCAGTCGGCTCTGAAAACTGTGAAGGACTCCAAACGTAAGTCAGTGTGTGTGTGTGTGTGTGTGTGTGTGTGTGTGTGTGTACTCTGGTTTAAAGCTGCACTCCTCAGTATGTTTGTTTGTATTTTTTTAAGTCCATGTGTAATAATTCCTCCTGTCCACACTGACAGTGAAGTGATCTCTTCATAACATGGCACTGTGATGAGATGTTCACTGACGAGGCTGAAACCAGGATTTTAAAAACTCTTATGTCTACTTGTTTGTTTTTTGTTGTTTGTTTTTTTAATTTTCATGGTTTGGTTAAAGTTTCTCTGCAGAGTTTGATTTGTCGTCGGGCTCTGGAAATTTCTCAAGATTGTTGCTCAGCAGAAATTCAGTAGTTGTGCAGTGTTTCCAATTTATGCCTGAGCGAAAAGTTTCCAAGTTTCCCAGTTTTGTCTCCATGGTAACCAGAGACCGCCTGCTTTTTCTTTTTTTATGGTTCAGAAGTGTAATCTGCACAGACGGCTTTTTAAAGATCACTCAGATATCCAGCTGTGTCGATGTTTTATCATTAACCTTTTGTTCATGAACTGATCAGCGGCAGTTTGTCCTCACTCTTTACAGTGGGCTGGGAAAGAAAATCAATGAATCAATAAATACAAACACTGTTGATGACTTCCTGCGGAGCGGACATGGAGACATATTTAGGTTCAGTAAACGTCTGCTGTCAGTCGGCCTGGTGGAGACACTTTGACCGCCCACTGTCCTCTCAGACAGACGGCTGCTTCTGTGGGCGAAGACGCTGAACGCAGGTCAGAGTCGATGTGGACTGAAAACTCACTCCATGGCAACGATGATAGCACTTAGCAATCACGATCAACCTGCCCGCGTGACAGACCATGTTTTCTTTAAAAAAATTGGTGGCTTTATTTATTTATTTTTTTTAAACCTTTAAAAAAAAATTGGCTTTTTTTTCGTTAACATTTTTTCTACCAATTTTTGGCAATTTTCCTTTTTCTTAAAGAAAATTTTTTTGGCG